AGAACTGGCCAACAGCGGGACACAAATTTGCATTCAAATGGCGGGAACTCTCTTGCACCGGGGGTTTTCTGTTGCAACAAAACCTTTGCTGTGCAAGAGGCTCTCATGCGGCGGGAAAATTCCATCGTGCCAAGGCACCAAAATCACTGGGTTGTGACATTAAGTACTGTTGTCCTCCTAAAAACTTTACAAACATACGAGAATTCTAATATTACAGCCTGCTCATACCACAATATTTTAAAAATCAGAATAAAAAAAATTGGCATACATATGCAAAGCATAAGTAATGAGTGTGCTGTGCAGCAACAGATCTCAAATTGCTTAAACAAGGATGTAATCAGCACATTAACTCCACTCCATCCCAAGTCCTGGGGAAGTTTCTGTACATTATGCTCAGCTCCATCAAGTGGATGAAAAATTGGGGGGGGGGCGGCTACACAAAAAGGGAAGGAGGGAAACAAAAGACAAGGATAATGGGATGAATTAAAGAAGGCAGGGAAGAATAAGAAGGAAGGAGAATGGAGAGGAAATTGGGACAAGAAACAGAAGAATAAATAAGTGTAGGCACATAGCTCCTATCAGGAAGGCCCATCGCAGGGGTTTTCAACCTTTTTAACTAAGTGTATCCCCAGCAGCCAGACACAGAGCCAGAGGGTGGGGCAGCCAGACACAGAGCAGCGACAGCATGGGGTGGTGGGTGGTGGTGGCTGCATGCGAGATTCCCCCAATGAGGCCCACTGCAGCCTTCATCCCCCCCCGGCTCTGCTCCTGAGAGGCGGCAGTGCAGGGTGGTGGGTGCCCAAGCTCTGTGCCCTTGCCCAGGCGTATCCCCTAGGGCCTTCCCAAGTACCCCTGGGGGCATGCATATCCCTGGCTGACAACCCCTGCCCTATTTTATCTGCATCCCTTGTTATAAAAAGGGTACTCCTGGCAAAGAGCTCTGTGAAGGCACCAAGATTCAAACTTGCTCCCCACACCCCACTAGTCTGAAAAAGGGGACCTTCTGGACTTGCTAGAAAAAAAGTAATCTTTCTGCTTGTTCCACAAGGTTTTGGAGACGTTTGAAGGCATGCTACTTGGATCAGTGGCAGGGTAAAAAGGGTTATTGGTTGTAGCCATGTTGGTCTAAGGACATAGGCAGACATGGTTATTTGGGTAGAATGCGATATCTTTAATATACCTTTTATTACCTAAATAGTTGGAAAAATTGCTCTTTGCAAGCTTTCGGGCACAAACAACGTTCTTCAAAAAAAAAGGAGATTTTGTAAAAGTCAACCAGCTTTTGTAAGAAATCAATTCAAATAGTAATTTGGTTTGATTACTTTAATGCTGCTAGGATTTTACCATACTCTAAGGCTAAAGATCAGGCAGTATTATGACTAGCATCCAGTTTCAGTCTGTAAAGAAATAAAAGTGAATGGGAATGGTCTGGAATATATGAGAAGAGAAAGATATGTCAATTTCATTTTTTTTAAACTTGTTTTTGTTTCTAGACGATATGGGCAGATACATCAACACAAACTAAAAGTCCCATAGCCATGACTTAAATATTTGAAATCTGGAATATCCTTCATAGGAGATTTAAAATTGTTTTAAAATTTTATATTTGGATTCCTATGGGAAGACTGTCAAATGTGATTTCCAACAAATGCAGAGAAACTGAAATAGCTACCAATCCTATTTAATGCCTTTCTGTCGATTAGTCACCAAGTTCCAGAATTATCTTCTCAACAGATGATCTAATTTTTGTAAAGTAAAGCTTGCAAAGTTTGCTTTGTATATAGAATGGAAAATACAGTTTGCAGAAACTCTTATGGAAGTGAAAACTTGTACTTTAGACCTTTATGTAAATCAAGATTTGAGGTGATCTACAGCCTGTGTGAGTAAACAATTATGCTGCAATTGAGATCAATCCCAGGAGCAGACTGACTTTATTTAAAAGGAATTTAAAAAAATCAAAACCTGTCAAGTGATAAAGTAATAGTTTTTGTAAAAAAATAATTATTTCCCTTTCAGCATAGGAAGGAATATGACTCAAGGAAAGTTTAATGACCATGTTCCAGTTAATCAAAGAAATTGACCAGTTAATGGCAAGACATTTCTTACAGATTTCCCAACCTTAGTCTTAAAAAGGATTCAATTTCATAACACAAAAAAGCAACTATAAAAACCAAAGGAATCTGGGCCTGTTTAGGCTATCCCATAACACACATAGTAACTAAGATACCAAATCAATTATTTAATAAGATGTCAGCAAAGCAGGGTGGATGAAATGGAACTGATAAGCAGAAATATTTGAACAGACTCAATGATGTGCATTGAAGCTCAAGAAAACAGTGTACTGGAGCAAAGTATGCATTTTCAAGGGTTCCCATACATAAAGGAAGCTTAAACCAAGGAACCAATATCGCAATAACAGACCATATCGGAATAACAAATGGTTACCCTCAAAATGCAGCTTACTTTCACTTTTCATTAAAAAAAATCTTTATAAAATGTGGCTACATAAATGTTACGTTTCAGGCCTCTTACTGGGCCTTTTGTTTCTGGGGTGATTGCTTATGAAATGGACACATACCAGATGTAAACATATATTTATTTAAGAAACAGAAGCAAAAAAAAAAAATCATGAAAATGCCAGTTATACTTTTTATGGGGAAATACTAAAATCAGGAACAGTACTGTACCTTTTCCAAATGCAAGATGATTTCAAATTTAAGATGACCCCCCAATTAGATTTTATAAATGGAAAATTATAAAATTAGTTACAATTTTCCATGTATAGAATCGAATTAGTGAAAGGTAGTCTTAAATTCATACTCCACTGCTGTGGCAGGGAAAGCAGCAGCAGAGGGCTTGCTGTTTGCCCTCCCTTCACCCTTGCTCCTTGCCCTCCCCACATGCCTATGCCTGCTCCCTTGTCACTTGTCCCTTGCTCTCCTGCCATGTGCAACCCTGCCACTGGCTCCCCCACTTTCCCATGCATGTTCCCTACCACACGTGCCTGTGCCAGACATCTGTCACCTCCCTCCCTTCCTCCCTGCCACCTGCCCCCCATATCTTACACACTGTGCCTGTGCCCGGCCCCTGCTGCCCATTTCCACCCCCTGTGCCCTCCTTCCTCCACCTTCTGATTTGCTCTGGCTCCAAGACAATCAGCAGTGGAAGTAGCCCTGGCGTGGCCCTGCCCTACTGAGACATGGAGAAGCAGTGGTGGTAGCTCTGGGCCAAGAGCAGAAAATAAACAAGAGCAGGATAGCAAGGGGAAAGTTGCGCAATCATCTACACCACCTGCCCCCACACTTGCCTCTCCCCAACTTTATGAGTGGGCAGGCAGCGGCTCAGCTCCAACTTCAGCTCTAAGCCTAGGGCTGAAGCCAGAGCTGAGCTGCCACCTGCTTTGGGCTGGTATTTGAATAGCATTAAATATGGTATTAGGGTTATTCCCTAGAATCTCATGTGCAGTCACAAAACATATCTACAAATCGGAGAAACTGGTTTATAAGGCGCTGTCATTTTCTTTAACCTAGCGATTCTCAACCAGAGAGTCATGGCTCCCTGAGGTGCCTTGGGATTCTCTCAAGGGGGGGGGGGGATACTAAGTAATATTAGCATTGTTGGATGTGTAAGCATGATTCACATGATAAGTTTAAAGATTTGAAATAGGATCCATGGCTTAGAAACTTTCTGACTTGCTGCAGTCTTTCTTAGTTCTTTGCAACAGAAGAATTGTTCTATTATTTTTTCTGTATCAAAAACAAATAAAAACTAAAAGCTGGCATTTTTGAGGAGTGCCTCATCTGAAAATGTTGAAAACACTGCTTTAACTCATTTTTTCCAAGTTGACCTCTACTATTTATTTTTTCTCACAAATTATCTGTCTCCAAAGTTAAAGTATTGCCCTACATGGGTAAGCTGAAGTGCTACCAAAAATAAAGATCCTAATATTATGTTCTGTCTAACGCCAAGATTTCAGCACCGATTCTAAAGAAATGACTTCTCTCACTTCCACTGCATGTATTTATGATGTTCAAATATTAAATCTATTTGACGCTGACAGACAGCTTTGATTAAACACAAAAGCATATTTCAAAAAGGTGCACAATATAAAAAGCTAAATATTGCTTTTGAACCCTTTTATTGCTTGACTGAAAAATTCAGCTAGGCAATCAAATGCAAAGGTTTCAGCAGCTTCCTGAAGAAAACACATAAGAAATTATAATCATTCTAAATGTATAATGCGTTATGGTCATCAAGGTGAATGGTCCTCCCTTGCTCACTGGCATACAGGCTTACTTGAAAGTTAACATTCAGAGGTGAAGACATTAAGCTTTATTTCAGCTTTCTGCAGACTACAGAGAGCTAATCTTAGTATTTTTGTTCTACAAATTTAGCATCAGTAAATAGAAGCCTGATTCTTTTGCAGTGCAAAGGTGATTCTATGATAGTGCCAGCATCAAATTTCAACACTGCTGGTTCAAGAATTGCTGTTGTGATCAACCATATGCAAGCATGAAGCTGTGTAGGAAAGGCAGAACTCCTATGAATTCCAGGGTGATGAAATAAACTGTACACAAACTGGCTTTGGAAATACAGAATACTTCTGTGCAATGTTGCAGTCATGTGGCACCAAGCTCCTTCAGTGGAACAATCAAATAGGCCCAGATCCACTGCAGGAAGGAGCAAGGAAAACAGGGTTTTATAACTGTGGGACTTTGACAAGAATATCCTGATTCTGTACTTTTGATGAGCTAATGATCAATTATTACAAAAAACTGATTATTATTATTATTGCTTGTATCTACTTGGACTATATGTCTAACCAACTTCTGGGGAAAAACTTCTCCCCTATCATAATACCCCAAATATTTTTAGTCATTTGTTTTTTTGCTCTTGGAGACAAAATCCCAGTCTGATTTACTTTATCTAGCAGTGTTGGAACAAGAACTGTGCGCCAGGTTAGTGACTTGAATTAGAAACCTTAGAAATAATAAAAGAGAGCTGTTAACTACCTTAAACAGATTTCACCCGTCTCTGTGATGTTCGGATGCCAGATTCTAGTCAAACATTTTACCTTTGGAGGCTGCCAGAATAAAAGACAAACAGATTACAACGCTGCCCTTTAAAATAAATCAAAATCACCAAGCTACATGAATTATTTAACAATTGGAAGCTTAAAATATATATATGGAGACCTCCATCCAAGTACTAATGATAAACTTGCAATTCTGCAAACTGTTAAGTATCCCAAGAGGCACGCTATCTAGAGCAGAAGAACTATTATCCCCTTGTGTCTTTATCAGTCCCTTGCAAAGCCAGATTAGTAGTAAGGTTTTTTGAGGGTTTTATTGTTTTGTTTTCATTTGTTCTAAAAAGGCATTCAGGTAAGCAGGCACAGTTTTAAAGGCTGAAACACTAATTTAATTTCCCTTTGAAAAAAACAAAAATGAAAACACAACCCAATGCTATTTCATTACTTGGCATTATGGCAATCTGACAAGAAAAAGTAACAATTAAAACTGAAGATGTTACTCCTTTCATTTGCAGTGAATGAGGAAATGGAAGAAGAAAATGTTTTCTTTTCAATGTGGTTTCAACTTCACAGTAATTTTCAGTAAAGTCTCTTCTATTGTGAAATGTTGACAGGACAACACTTGTGCAGTTACATTTTATTCAAGTTACTTAATAAGGAAGCTGCACTATTTTACAGTGATACTACTACCTCCAATCGATGCTGCAGCTCTTGTTAATACATGCTGGCAAATAAACATTTATAAATGTGCCTTATTTACTCCAGCTTGGCAAAGTAAGTAAAGGAAGGATGACTTTAGCCTGGTGGTGGGGCACTCCCCTAGGTGTTCAGGTCCCTAGATTCAGGTCGCTGTTCCCAGTACTGTATATATGCTCTATCCTATGGCAAAGTGCAATTTAGGTGTTCAGGTAGATTTTTGGGGGCACTTTTCCAATGTCATAGAATCATAGGTAAGTAGGGCTGGAAGGCACCTAAGGAGGTCATCTAGTCCAGCTCCCTGCTCAAACCAGGATCATCCCTGACTAAACCATCTCATTCAAACATCTGTCTAACCTGCTCCTGAAAATTTCCAGGGATGCAGATTCCGTAATTTCTGTAAGTAGCCTGTTCCAGTGCTTAACCACCCTCATAGAAAGTTTTTCCTAACCTCCAACCTAAAGTTCTTCTGCTGCAGTATGAGGCTATTGCTCTTAGTCCTGTCCCCTGTGGCCACAGAGAAAAGCCTGTCTCCATACTCTTTATAACCACCCTTCAGGTATTTGTAGATTGTTATCAACGCCTGACCCTCAATTTTCTCACGTTGGCTTGCACTTGCAAGTGATCCGACATTGGCTTATAAATACTGCAAGAATGCATTTAACAAAAACAAACAAACATTCATTAAGGTTGTCTAAGTTTTATAAAATGTAACTTTCTACAATAGTCACATTTTGGGGGGGAAAAAAATATTCTGCAGCATTTCTTTAAAAGTGCATCGTATTTATCCAAACAACACTAAATTTGGGATGACTCACCCCTCCCCCGCAATAATTAGATTCCAGACATACAAAATTTGTAAGTTTGTTATACATTTTCCACATACAGAATCTAATTTGGGTGCATCATCTTAAATTCATCCCTCTACCACCTTTTCCCTA